ACAAGGGTCCCAGCCCCTGAAAAGGGGCTGCACTTAGAAATCACTCGCTTGGGGCCAGAGAGACAGGCTGTGTGTGGGTTAAAGCCCTGGCATGTATGTAGCAGACTGGGGTCCCATCCCCCGCACCTCACAGGCCCCCTGGAGCCCACCAGGAATGATTCCTGAGCACAGAGTCAGGAGTAAGTCCTGAGCACTGCTGAGTGTGACCCAAACCAAAAAAAAAAAAAAAAAAAAAGAAATCAGAAAGAGAAATGACTTATTTCCAGCAACGGCGGCCAGACGAGCCGGAGGACTTGGCAAAGTCTGGCTGGGCCCAGAGACTGTGTCGGCGTGTACCCCAAGGCTGGGACTCCCCCAAGTTCCTTCAGATAGGTGTCTGAGAGGCGGGGTGACACACTGCAGGTGTGGGGAGGAAGGCCAGTGGCACAGTCCTTTGGAGAATCACTCTGGTTTAATCAGAAAGAGCAAAAGGGACGTGTGCCCAGAAAGCGGCTGGCAACACTGTTTTCATGCCAAAATGTTTCAGGAACCCAGGATGGCTCAGTGGCAAAGCCTTGCAGGCTTCTGGCCTTGTGTGGCCCCCGCGAGTGCCGCCCTGGGTGGCAGCATCTCCGGGCACTGTGTGTGGCACAGAGCAACTCCAGACAAGCGTTCCAGTGTGTTCCACCTCTGCCCTGTGCAAAAACAAGCAGGGAGAGAGGGAAGAGAAGGGTCTCTCCAGGGTGCAGTGTTACAAATGTGCTAATTTGTAGCACTGAAAAGTCTAAACTGAATATCTCAAATGTTACAAATGTTGCACTAGGACTGCTTTTATGGAGTAGTTTGATTTTGGGTCACACCCGGAGTCCCTGTGCTGGGGAGATGCACCTGTGCGCATGCTCCCCGGGAAAGTGAAGAGCCCCAGGGGTGCTCCCGGCTCTCTGCTCATGGGTGTCCCCTGGTGGTGCCGAGCAGTCCTGCAGCCCTGGGCATCAACTGGGGCAGCCTTGGTTCAGTCATGTGCCCTGCACCCTGCATCTCTCCGGCCCAGGATAGCACTTTTTGAAAACAGAACTTGGAATAGCCCCAGGTCCATGCTGAGGGGCTCAGTGTTTGAAGATACTTGCACAGAGGTTGGCCAGACTGAGCTTCCTGGACTCAAGAGGGCGTTGGTTCGGCAGCTGTGCTGGGGTGGGGATGTGGGGCTGCTCACTTTGCTCTAGGCTGCCTCGTGGTTTTTTTTTTTCTTTTTGGGTCACACCCAGTGATGCACAGGGGTTACTCCTGGCTCATGCACTCAGGAATTACTCCTGGTGGTGCCTGGGGGACGACATGGGATGCTGGGAATCGAATCCGGGTCGGCTGTGTGCAAGGCAAACGCCCTACCCGCAGTGCTATCACTCCAGCCCCTGCCTCGTGTTTTTAAGAGCATCAGTGGATGCACGTAGTGACAGTGATGCCAGGAGTCCTGCCGAGGAGGGGTTCTGGTTCCTGTCCAGAGAGGGTGTCTGTGCTCGGTGGTGGTGCCCGCTGGCCAGAGTGGCCGGGGGAGCCTCGGGCTGAACGGGTGAGTGTGTGAGGCCTCCCTGCGCCCCCCCCCCCCACAGTAAAGGTGCAAGTGGGTATAAAGAATTGGGGACAGGTGATAGAGGTCAGCTCCCACCTGGGCGCCTTTCACCCGAAAGGCCGTTACCAACATCTCTGAGGATTCATTGTTAAGGAACTGGGAGATGCCTTTTGCATCTAGCCCCAGCTGGGCCGAGCTCTCTAGCCAAATGAAGGAAAAGTCGGGTTTGCTGTGGAAAGAATGTGCAAGAAAGAACCAGGGCAAATGATTTTGGAAGGGGAAAAAAAGAAAAGAAAGAGCAGCACATAGCAGAGTAGCACTGGAGGGACCTCCCCGAGCCTCTGGGTTCCCTGAGCACAAAGCAGTTACACGCAGCTACTGTAATAACCCCTGCAGAGCTTGACCCCAGCAGCTGCTCCTGTTTCTCCCCTGGAGTCTGACCCAAAGTCCAGGGCCAGGCCCCATCCCACGCCACCTGGCAGGAAGCAGGAACATCTCCGTTGGGGCCCCAGTGAATCCTGCAGACATGCCTGGAATTGCCCAGGGCATGGCCACTCCCGGTCACATCGCCTGGGAAGCTGGGAAATCCTGTCTTTGGCTGGGCAGCTAGCCAGAACACATGGCCAGATCCCACCAGTCACTACACGGGCCACAGAGCCTGGGAAGGGGCTGCACTCAGAAATCATTCGCTTGGGACCCGAGAGACAGGGTGTGGGTTAAAGCACTGGTGTGCGCACAGCAGACCAGGGGCCCATTCATGGCACCACATAGGCCCCCAAGGGTCCACCAGCACCATGCTGGGAACGGTCACTGGGACAAGTTGTTCCTGTCATCCCCAGCAAGCCTGTGGGGTGTGGTGGCCAGTTACCCACTGGCGTTTGTGGCCACAGGACACTGGGAGGTCCTGGGGTGGGGGCAGAGCAGTAGGTAGGGTTCCAGATGGCCCACATGGGGCTGGGTAGAGCAGCTCCCACGGGGGCTACAAAGCACCCCCATAATCTGTAGGAGGGTCCCAGCTCAGCTCTCCAGAGCCCGCTTGCACACCAGGACTGAGGACAGAGCAGGGTGGCAGAAGGGGTTCCGAGGGGACGCTCTCCCCATTGAGTTCCTGCTTAAGGGACAGACTGCAGTCTGTCTGCAGAGCCCACCAGGGTAGGGCTGTTTAGACCCCCCCCAGGCCTCAAGGGGTCAAGAGCCCCGGGGGGGACACAGAGCTTCAGGGCTGACCCCCGAGATGTCCAGGCCCATGCAGGCAGCCCAACCAGGAGATCCATGGGGTCTTCGAGGCGCCATTTCCCTGCCCAGCGGAGGCTGGATGACAGTCTCGGCCTCGCCCAGCTGGCCTCCTGGACTTTGGCCAGTTCCGTGTCAAGGAGTCGAGAAGGGAAGTCAGGACACAAGTCCCCAGGTGAGCGCCACCCAAGGGCTCCTTAAAGCACCTCTGAAACTCTGGTTCCTTTGGAGCAGGAGAGGGACATTTGTTTGAGTCAACACCTGGGGCCATGCAGCCAGACAGAGACCCAGTCAGGGTGCGACCTCAGCCCTCGCTGTGAACTGGAGCGGGGGCGGGGGCCCGGCCAGCCGCACAGCCTTAGTCACGCTCCTCGCCTGGTTTTATGGGAGCGTGGGACACCAAACAGTTCAAAGCCTGAGCCGTTGTAAAGAGGAGCTTTGGCTTGGCGTGGGCAGGGGCAGACTGGGTGCCTCCCAGCACTGGGGTGGGGGGGGGTCCCTGAAGGCCCCCCAGGCCTCTCCGTTCCCTCTTCTCCCAGCTCTGGTCGTTGGCTGCCAACTCCTTCTCTGCCAAGTTGCCTGGCAGGCCCCACATTCTCATTTTGTTTTGGGGCCTGTGTGCAGGGTCACTGCTGGCTGTGAGCTCAGAACTGACTGCTGGTGCTGCTCAGGGACTGTGTGGGATGCCAGGGGTCGAACCCAGGTCAGCCGTGTGCAAGGCAAGCACCCCACCTGCTATACTATTGCTCTGACCCCCCAAATTCTTGAGATAATCAGGCACTATGTACTGGGAAAATGTGATCCACAGTGGCTGCAGAGCGCAGGTTTTGGGGTGCAGGGAAGCATCTGGGCATGTGTGGGGTGGGGAGCAGCGGTGGCCCCTCCGAGATACAGGGTGAATGGTCTGAGAATGTGGGCTGCTCGGGGCTCACCAAGCTATGCTCTGGTGATCAGAACGGGGTCCCGTTTAGGTGGGGCAGACCTGGTCCTGTTCCCTCTCCTGGTTCCAAAGCTCAGGATTTACCGGAGAATCGCTTCATCCCTACAATCTACACAGCCGGCCCCCTGCCGTTATCCGAGGCTCACCTTTACTTGTCTGCAGCATGCAGGTTGTGGGGTCCAGAGGGGAAGCCCCCACTTCCCGCCCCCAGGAAAAGCTGTGGCCATACGTAGTCAGTAGTCTTGATCTAGAAATAGGTTTCTCCGGTTCCCTTCGGAACCCGCTGTACTAGCTGATTAATAGCAGGTTGCCTTTCTTTTTTTAATTTGGAGTGATAGCACAGCGGTAGGGCGTTTGCCTTGCACACAGCCAACATGGCCGACCCGAGTTCGATTCCTCCGCCCCTCTTGGAGAGCCCGGCAAGCTACCGAGAGTATTCGATATGCCAGACACAGTAACAACCAAGTCTCCAATGGAGACGTTACTGGGCCCGCTCGAGCAAATCGACGAACAACGGGAGGGCCTTTACCTTTTTAAATTTTTATGTAGGAGTACTGCTATTTATTCAGCCACTGATTAGCTGATTGAATTGGGCATGAACTCTACCTTACTTTTTTTTTTCATTTTTTATAATTTTATTTATTGAATCACCGTGAGAGCAGTTACAAAGCTTTTGGGTTTAAGTCTCGGTCATACAATGAAACACCCATCCCTTCACCAGTGCCCCACCAAAAACCTCAGTATATCCCCATCCCACACTCTCCCCCAACAGCAGGTTGTCTTTCACAGTCCCTGCTTATGCGTGGATGAGAATACGGTTTCATCTTTGTCTGAAAACTATGTCGAAGAGAGGTTAGAGGAGCTGGGTGACGCTTCCACTTCCACGGGCAGCTTCCGGTGGCCTTCGGCAGAGAGGAGCCTCCATAGGGTCATTTGAACATGAAAGCCAGTGCAGACCGCGAGGACACTTGGGAGAAAGCGACCAGCAAACCCGAGTTCGGAGCTGCAGAGCCCGGGCCCCGCCCCCCAGCCACGGGTCCCGCCCCTCAGCCAGAGGCCTTGCCAACCAGCATCGGCCCCGCCCGGCTTCTTAGGCCCCGCCCCTCGGAGGCCCCGCCCCCAGCCCTTTGGCGACTACTTAGCGGCAGCGACCCGGGCCGCGCTCAGAGCGTCAGCTCGGCCCAATCGGAGCCTGGTCGGGCCGGGACGGCCGCGCAGCGCGCTCCCATTGGCTGGCGGGCGGGGGCGGGGGCGGGCCGCGCCTGCGATTGGCCTGCGCGCGGGCGGCGGGCTCGTGGCGTCATGGAGGCGGAGGGCGTCCTGACGCGGGCGGCGGCCAGGCGGCGGGCGCGGCAGCTGCGGGGCCCCGGGGTCCCCGAGGAGCGGCGCGAGCGGCGCGAGCGGCGGCGGAGGTGGGCCCCGGGCCGCGGGGGGGGGGGCGGGGATCTGCGCCCCGAGCCGGCGCCCGGAGGGCCTCCGCGGCCACACGCCCCGCCGCCCCCCGTGCACCCGCGGGCAGGCCGGGGGCCGCTTCCCGCTGCGGCCACGCCCCCGGAGCTGGAAGGTTCCAGTCGCGGCGGGGTGCGGGGCCCGAGGCCGGGCGGGGCGGGAGTGGCCATCCAGCGGGAGGAGCACGGGGACAGAGGTCACCTGGCCGCGGCTCGACCTGTCGTGCACGGCGTAGCCCGGGGGTTGCTCGGGGGATGGGCCCGGCCCTCCCCACCTGCCCCCTGGCCGGGTACCCGGAGCCGGAGCTTACAGCAGCCACACCTGAGGGTTCTGCTTGTTTTTGTGGCGTCCGTGTTGGGAGACGCTCGGAGACCACGTGTTTCTGGGATCGGACCCAGAACCGGGCAGAGTATCCGCGCCGTTGGTTCTGCCTTCCCACACCCAGCAGTGCTCAGGGGTTATTCCTGCCTCTGTGCTCGGGCCACAGGCCCATGTGGGCCGCCGGGACTGACTGACGCGCGAGCCTTCCGCGCTGAACTCTCTCCAGCCCCCGGTGGTGATCGGGGGACCCTATGGGATGCTGGGGATCAAACCCGAGTAGGCTGCGTGCAAGGCAAACGCCCTACACGCTGTGCTATCACTCCAGGCCCCCAAGCCCTCCTATTTAAAATGGTCTAACACTCTTAGAATCGGAGGGAAGACGGCGGCCCGTGTGTTCCGGGAAGTGGTCAGCTTTAGCCCGGCCCCGCTGCCAGGTGAGGACCAGGGTGCTGAGCGTCTCCTGCGCTCTCCCGGGGCTCCCGTCGACCCAGCCTCCTTCTTGCTCCCCAACCCTGGGGCAGAGCCTCACTGTTGCCCCCTCTGACCAGTTAGATATTATGACCAGGACACCACCAAGCCGATCAGCTTTTACCTCTCGTCCTTGGAGGAGATCTTGGCATGGACACCCTCGGGGGAGGACAGCTTTAATGTGGCCCTGGAGCCCCGGGCATGCCGCCAGCCCCCCCTGAGCAGCTCCAGGGCCCGGACCCTGCTCTGCCACGACATGATGGGCGGGTACCTGGAAGACAGGTGAGGAGGGTGGGTGGATGCCTGGATGACAGGTGAGGAGGGTGGGGTCAGCTGGCTCCTCCCAAGTCTGCTGGCCAGAAGCTGTTCCTTTTCCTCACTGTCCTCGCTGGGGGCAGTGGGACCCCGCTTCGAGCTTTGCCACGAGCCTGTGTTTGCCACGAGATTGAGACCTGAGCCTGGGGATGGGGCAGAACGTGGCTGAGCCCTGCATCGAGCCCCGTGCCCACTGGTGGCCCGTCTCCATTACTGTTCCTGGGGGGCTCCACCCCAAGGTGGCAGGTCTCCCCTGACCCTGTCCCGGCTCTGTCTCCACACCCAGGTTTATTCAGGGCTGCGGGGCGCAGAACCCTTACTCGTTCTACCACTGGCAGTACATCGACATCTTCGTCTACTTCAGCCACCACCTGGCCACCATCCCACCCGTGGGCTGGACTAACTCTGCCCACCGGCACGGGGTCTGCGTGCTGGGTGAGCGAGGCCCACCTCCACACAGCGAGCCCCGGTGGGCTGGGCCGGCCTTCGGGGTCCACACAGCCATCAGCAGACTGCAGGGGACCAGGTTCATCTTGCGACTGCTCAAGGAGAGACGCATCGATCTTGGATGGACCCGGGCCTGGTCCCCAAAGCTGCCTTCCAAAGGGAGGGGGCAGGGCAGGCCCGGGTGGCCTTGGGGTCCCACTCCTGACCCCCCTCCCTCCTGGCAGGGACTTTTATCACCGAGTGGAAGGACGGGGGCCGGCTCTGCGAGTCCTTCCTGGCAGGGGACGAGCGCTCCTACCAGGCGGTCGCCGATCAGCTAGTCCGGATTGCCCAGTTCTTCCGTTTCGACGGCTGGCTCATCAACATCGAGAACTCCCTCAGCGTGAGCGCTGCCCTCTCCTCGGCCAGTCTGTTAGCCCCCAGCCGCCAGTGCTGCCCTGATCCCAGCCAGATCCCAGCCCCACCCCTAGGTCGAGCCCTGCCCCAGCCAGAGTCTCAGCCCTGCCCCAGGGCATGCCCCTTTCCCCAGTGTTCAATCACTTTCCCAGGACATGACAGGACCTCAGCCAGAGTCCCAGCCCTGCCCCTCAGGGCACAACCCACACCGTGTTCCAGCACCTCCAGTGTCCCAGCACTTCCCCTCTGCATTCTCCGCTCCTCTCAGCATGCTGCGCCCCCAGTGCTCCAGGCCCTTTCTCTGCAGTCCCCGCTTCCAGCCCCTCACCTCTGTATGTCTCTCCCTCAGTGAATGCTCCGGCCCAAGGGTCCCAGCCCCGTCCCTCCTGTACGCTCCACCCCCAGAGCCCAGCCTCACCCCTCCTGTAGCTCTACCCCAAGTCCCAAGCCCCGCCCCTCCTGTATGCTCCACCCCCCAGAGTGCCAGCCCCGCCCCTCCTGTATGCTCCACCCCAATCCCAGCACCGCCCCTCCGCTAATGCTCCGTCCCCAGAGTCCCAGCCCCGCCCTTCCTCCAATGCCCCGCCCCCAGAGTCCTAGCCCCACCCCCAGACTGGCACCGCCCCTTCCTGGGCAGCATCTTTCTGGGCTTGTGCCCAGCCCTTCCAGCGTCAAGGACAGGAGTCGTGCCTAAGGCTGGCCCCTGGGCTTAGAGGTTAATGGCGGCGGGCGTGGCATTTACAGCGCCGGGGAAGTGGGGCCATAGCGCCTGTCTTCTTTCCTTTGCAGCTGGCCGCCGTGGGGAACCTGCCCCGTTTCCTGCAGTACCTGACGTCCGAGCTCCACGAGCAGGTCCCGGGCGGGCAGGTGCTGTGGTACGACAGCGTGCTGAGCAACGGGCAGCTCAAATGGCAGGACGAGCTGAATGAGGGCAACAGGTGAGAGGGAGCAGGGGTGAGGGGAGCTCCGCCCTCCCCCCTCCCTCCCCCCCCCCCGCCCGGGTTGCAGCTCACTTGCCACCTGGCGACCCAGGGTCTTTTTCGACTCCTGCGACGGCTTCTTCACCAACTACAACTGGCGCGAGGAGCACCTGCAGCGCATGCGGGCGCCGGCGGGGGCGCGACTGGCCGACGTGTACGTGGGCGTGGATGTGTTCGGCCGCGGGAATGTCGTCGGGGGAGGCTTCGACACGGTCAAGGTGAGCGGAGGCTCCCGAGTTGAATTGGCTACCACCCTGTTTGAGGCTATTTTCTGGTCCCTGCCCAGCGGTGCCTGGGGCTTCCTCCTGCCTCTGCACTCCCGGTCCCTCCTGGCAGGCTCCGTCTGGGGTGTCTGTGTAGAGTGCCGGACCAGGCATCCTGGCGTTGCCTGTAGCTCAAGCGCCCTGCCTGCTGCACTGTGGTCTGGCGCTGCGTGATCCTCCTTTAAGCAGCCGAGCAGCGCCCCCCGGGGGGGGGGTCCAATTCCCTCCCTCCTTTCCCTCTTGCTGCCCAGTTTGGGCTGTGTGGACCTCTCGTTCTTGTCTGCCTCTCATGGACAAAACAGCAGGTCTGGGTTAGGGAAACTGAGGCACAGCAGTACTGCTGAACCCCGACTTTTGCCTTTGTGGCCAGATGACTCTGAACCCTGTCTGGGGCTGCCTCAGTCCCCCACCTCGCTGTGGGCCCCCTTCCCTTGAAGGCAGAGCCGGCATCGTAACTGCATTAGCTAGCCTCGGGAACCCAGAGGCACCTCATGGACACCCAGAGGTGGCTGGGCCAGAGGAAGTGGCCAAGGTTGGGGCCCTGGTGCAGGGGGCAGAGTGCAGGGGAGGGGAGCCAGGTGTGCGTCCAGCAGAGGCTCAGGGCGGCCTCCCCTGTGCCCCAGTCGCTGGAGCTCATCCGGAAGCACGGCTATTCAGCCGCCCTGTTTGCACCGGGCTGGGTGTACGAGCGCCTGGACAAGGCCGACTTCTTCCAGAACCAGGACCGGTGAGTGCCTTGTTGTCCCCCCCCCCCCCCCCACACCCAGCCTGGCCCAGCAGAGCAGGGGAGGGTTGGGCTGATGTGGCTGTGTCCCCGTAGATTCTGGAGCTTGCTGGAGCCGCACCTGCCGACACACAGCATCTGCTCCCTGCCCTTCGTCACCTCCTTCTGTCTGGGCCTGGGGACGCGGCGAGTGTGCTATGGGCAGGTGAGTCATGGTGGCGGGGAGGCCACCTCCTGGGGGCCTCTGGGGTGGTGGAGGAGCCTCAGATGAACGGATTGTGGGGGGCCGCTGCCCTCAGCATAGTGACAGGTCTGTGTCCCCCAGGAGGAGGCGGTGGGGCCCTGGTACCATGCCAGCGCCCAGGAACTGCAGCCCCTGTTCGGGGAGCACCGGCCCGAGGGCGGAGGCCCGGGCTGGGTGAAGACACACTGCTGCCTGGCCGACGCCTGGCACGGGGGCAGCTCACTGCTGGTGCGGGGCCGGATTCCCACTGAGGCCGGGAGTGTGGCTGTGAGGTAAGCGGGTGCCTGATCCTCCTGCCCTCCCCCCATCCTCACGGCTCAGCATTTCTCGGGCAGCAGAGGTGGAGGGGGCTTGGGGTGCACATCCCCCGCCAGGGCCGGGACTGGGCACCTTCGAGCCGTGCCTTCCCGGCTTGCAGCCCCTCGTCAGTGCCCGTAATGGGGCGGCTGGGCCGGCGGGTGCTCAGACGCTGTCCTCAGCGTCCCCCCGCCACCCCTGCAGGTTGTTCACGCTGCACGTGCTGGTACCCCCCCGGCTCCTTCTGTCCTTGGTATACAAGCTGGAGGGGCCCACGACTGTGGACGTGGCGCTGGAGCTCACTGCGGGCGACATGGGCGCCTGCCACGTCAGCGGCGCCTCCCTGCTGGACGGTGAGGGGTGGGGCTTCTCTCTTCCTGCAGGGGTGTGGCGGGTGCTGGGGTGGGCAGCGGCCGGGACATGCTCCCTCTGCTTGGGCCCCACCCTCCATGCACTTGGGTGCTTGCTCCCCCCGAGACTTGGGGCGCTTCCGGCTCTGTGGACACCCCCGGGTGGTCTCCTTTGCACTCCTTTCCTCAAGTCTCCATCCCCGCCTGCAGCGGAAACCAGGCACAGACCCCGGCCCCTTGCGGTGCCGCCCACCAAGCTGGCCCGATGGGTGGGCCACTGCGGACAGCAGCTCAGTGGAGGCTGGACCCAGTGGTGAGTCTGGGCCCTTCCCGTTGGGCCAGGGGGCAGCCAGGCTGGGGACAGGGGAAAGTCCAGTGCTGGGCGGGGGAGGCCCAGGTGTCCCCCCTCAGGGTGCCCGCTGTTGGGGGCTGCACTGAGCCCGGTGTGACCATGTCCTCGCCCCCCGCAGTTGTTACGAAGCCATCCTGCAGGGCTGTGTCCTGCGGGACCTCTGTGTCCGTTTCTCACTGCCGCCGGGCAGCCGGGATGAAGACTTTGCCTGTCGCCTCGGGGAGATCCAGGTGAGTGTGGCGATCCTGAGCCAGGAGCCCTGTCCTGGGCCATCCTGGCCCCGTGTGCTGAGCCGGCTCTCTCTCCCAGGTGCTGGACGCCAACAGCCTGCTGGAGCCCCTGGCCCAGGTGCAGGCTGTGACCGTGGCGCAGGCGTGCTGGCAGCGGGCTGCAGGGGGCGCCGGGCTCCGGCTCAGCTGCACCCTGCACTGGTCCCACCCCCTGTCCCACGCCCGGCACTACCGGGTGCACTGTCGGGGCCGGGGGGCACCCGGTGGGGGCCTGGACCCCGACAAGCCCATGCTTCTGGGCCTGGCATTTGCCAATCAATACCGGGTGGTGGAGCTGGTGCTGGCGGCCGCGGGGCCTGGCCAGGAGGCCCGTGTGGACTTCCTGGTGGAGCCGGTGCCCCGAGAGGGCTTCCGGGTTCCCCAGACCGAGTGGGGCCGGGCCACCCTGCTCTACTCCCTGCCGGCCACGCAGCAGAGTTAGCGCATCACCTCTGCCCTCCGCCAAGACCCTCCCACAGACGCCCAGTGGACATGAGGGACAGATGGCTGTAGATGCAGTCTGGTGGGGACTCCAAACAGGCAGCCAGCGGACAGGTGGCTCATCTCCTGGTGTCTGTTTAACCTGGGCCGCACAATTCTGTAGTTTTGAAGATCCCACAAAGAGCGTTTCTAACACAGCTCGGAGCTGCCCATTCCCCTCACGAGTCCGGACAGCAAGATCTGGACATACTCACAGCAGGGGCTGCTGCGGTGAGGACTGAGGGGCAGAGTCTGCAGGGGCATGGGGTGCTGGGCGCCTCTTCTCCAAGGCAGCAATCAGGTGGGTCAGACCTGGCGGCCCGCCCTTTGATGTCCTGTGCAGTCTCCTGTCCCCATGTGCATTCTGGAACAATCCAGAATTGTTTCGGAAATAATTCCATTCTGGAACCGTCACGTGTCCTGGTGAGTTTCTTCTGAGTGGGGCTGAGGTGCTGCTTGTACAGAGGGGTGTCTGCCTCCATGGCTGGAGGATGGGCTCGTCCAGGCATCAGGAGGAGCCCCCAGAGGTCACTCCAGCTGGACACCCAGATCCTGCAATCTGGCCCACACCCACCTTCCACCTCCTGAGCAGCCTGAGAATAAGTGCTGGGGCGTGTGTCCTGAGTGAGTGAGTTTCACTGTGTCCCAACTGGGTGATAGTTTTGTGTCCTAAGTGGTAACACAGTGTCGTGTCTTGAGTGGGTGACTGCCCTGAGAGGGTGAGTTTGGTGTGTTTTGAGTAGGTGAGTTTGTCCTGAATGTGCCCTGAGTGGGTGGCAGTGTGCATGTGTCCTGAGTGGGTGGCAATGTCCAGGTGTCTTGAGTGGGTGACAGTGTCCGTGTGTCCCGAGGGCTGTTCCAAGCCCCCCTCTTCTGGTTTTGTGGAACAGGCACCCCTTACAGCTCCTTCCTTTCCCAGCTCCCAGCAGCTGCAGGATGCTGCAGAAACGGGCACTCAGTACCAGGATTCTTCCTCTTCTCCTCCCCATCCCCATCCTTTAGCTATTTCTGAGATTTGATTGGATACAGCCCATGAGGTCATCCAATTGGAATAACCAGTTTGGTCCCTTATGCAAACAAGGATGTGGGGTGACTGGGATGAACCAATCAGACCACACACACCCTTTTAAGGGCTTGTAAGATGATCTCATGTGTCTGTATGTAAATAAGGTTTGTAGGATGACCAATGGGGTTGCCTATGCAAATCAGGGCACTTAAGCTGCTGTGTCTGGGGTCGGGGACCTTCTATTTGGTGTCCCTGTGGGAGAGCCGGGCAAGCTACGGAGAGGAGAGTATCTTGCTCGCATGGCAAAGCCTGGCAAGGCAAAAGCCTGGCAAGCTACCTGTGACGTATTCGATATGCCAAAAACAGTAACAAGAAGTCCCACGATGGAGAGGTTACTGGTGCCCACTTGAGCGCATCAATGAAGTATGGGAGGACAGTGACAGTGGTGTGAGCAGTGTGGTCTCCTGATGCAGTGGGTGTTGGGAGGGGGCCAGCATCCTTACCCTCTCCCCATGGTTGGGTGCCACCTGGTCTCACTCGTGCCCCAGCTCCTGCCTGGTGCCTGTGGACGGGTTGTGGAGCTCAGCAAGGGTGCAGACTGCCTTGCTTTCACACTCCACCAGAGCGATGCAGCCCCTCAGCCTGGTCCTGGGCTGGGTGGGGTGCAGAGGCCTGGTTGGGAGCACCCCACAGTGTGGGCGTCTCCTCCTGCCTGGCACTGGCTCTATCTCACCTTCGAGCATGTCAGTGGGTGAAGAGTTTGGGGCTGCCTTTCGCTTTCCTTTTTCTTTTTTTTGATTTTGGGATCATACCCGGTGGTGTTTGTAAGGTTTGCTCCTGATCACCCTGCCCCCTCTTCCTCAAACCTCTTCGTGCTCAGGGCTTACTCGTGGCTCTGTGCCCAGGGGATCACTCCTAGCTGTGTTCAGGGAACCGTATGGGGTACGGGGATTAAGCCTGTGTTGGCCGCATGCCAGGCAAGTCACCCTTTTCTGTGCTTTCTCATGGCCTGGAGGTTTATGCCTGGCTGTTGTGTGGCCACATCCTTGGAGAGAGACGCCTCCATCTGCCACCCCCGGCTCTTGCAGTGTCCACTCTGGCACTGCCGGCTGGCCACAATGGCAGGTACTGTGTGGTGGGAGAGGCCTGCCTGAGCCTCTGAGTGCATGGAGGACACCTGTGAGAAGGGCCCCCCACAAACGTGCCACGGGGGTGGGGGTGGGGGAGGAGCTGGGCTTCGGGAACAGGGTGGGGAGAGAGCTGGCCGCATTAGGGCCCTGGGATCCCACTTTCCTCTGCTCCCTGGCCTCAGCCACCCGTGGGTACTCCCTGGAGCCCATAGATCAGAAAGAACTGTCCTGGTTTGAAGAAAACGCTTTATTAATAATCTTAATAATAATACTGTTCATCTGAATGGTCACACCTCGGAGCATACAGAATGGTAAGAAAGGGGACGGGGCCTGGCTGCAGTCCGCGGGGCGGGCAGCGGGGTGCCCGGGGGTCCAGAAGGCAGGAGGCGCGGGCGGGCTATGTACACGGGATTAGAAAAGGGGGAGCGGCCCAGCTTTGGAGCCGATGCGGAATAGAAAGAGGGTCTCCGGCGGCGGGCGGGAGCCAGTGTTCTCGTGAGTTCTGTGCTGTTTCCCTCCTGCCTGGTGGGGCCTCTCTCGTGCCTGCCCCCCACACCCCACTGGGGCCCTGCAGGACGGGGCCAGGGCCGGGTTGGCAGGACCCCCCGTTCTGCAGCCCTGTAGCACCAAGACTCCCCACCTCGCGTGTGGCCAGATGCTGGCCTGTCCCCCCACACCCCTGCGGAACTGGGGTCCTTGGGGTAGAGGTGAGGGGGCCTGCTCCCACAGACCGGCCAGCCTCCAGAAGGACCAGTGCGCACCCCCCTCGTGGCCGGGGGGAGGGCGGGTGCGGGTGTCCCTCAGTCGAGGGGTGACAGCCCTTGGGCTCGGGGTGGGCGTCCTCAGCGGCCCGCAGCTCCTCCACTCGGTGTGGCGTGGCTTGGGGGGAGCTGGGGCTCGGACAGCGTGACTCGGGGGTGACAGGGCTCGGGTGAGCCCCTGGGATGCAAGCAGCCCTTCCCTCACCCCTCCCGGGCACAGTGACCGAGAGGGCTGGGCCGATGGCCACCCCTTCCCGCAGGCCAGAGCCTGCCCCCTGCGGGCCCCCCACTGCCTTGGGAGTGGGGGCCGGAAGGAAGACTTGGCAGGAAACGGGGCGTCCCTCCCTCTCCCTGCTGCGGCCGCAGCCGCCGTCCACGCTGTCGCTGCTGTGCGCCGGGCCGGGTGGGCGGATGCTTCTCGGTTTGGTTGGTTTTTTTGTGGCTTGGATCGGAACATCTTTTTTTGTTTGGTTTTTTGTTTTGTAATTTTTTTGTTTTTTGTTTTTTGTGTTTTTGTTTGGCCCTTCATGGTCCGGGAAGGGAGAGGCAGCAGCTTTCACTACAACAGAGAGAGAGAGAGAGAAGGGGGGACAGTGCAGCGTCCCGGAGTGGCGGCCCCGCTGCCCCCACCTGCAGGCCCCCTTCCCTACCTTCAGGGGCCCAGTCTGGCATGGGGGCTTCCCTGTCCCAGAGGGTGGAGGAGCCCCTTGGCTCTGCCAGCTGGGAAAAGGGGGTGGGGAAGGCCCTACCAGCAGGGAGTGAGGGCTGGGGGACAGGGGCCAGTACCCCCAAGGGCAGCCCAGCGCCTTTTCAGCCCACCCCACTAGGCATGGGGGGAAAATGGGGTTCTGGTCTGTTGGGCCTTTGCAGACACGCCCCAGGTCAGGTGTGCAGGTGTTGGGCTGGGCTGACAGCCTAGAGGTCCCTCTGAACCGAAGGTGTGGGGGGCGCCTACAGTTTCCTGCCCAAGGAGCCCCATCCCTGAACCCTTTCCACACAGTTGCCACAGCGAGGTGGCGTGGGGCCCAGGGACAGAGCAGGCAGAGCCAGTGACCCGGGGATGCAGGGACACTGGCGGGCACTGAGGCACCCTTTGCTCCCTGAACCCCAGGGGATGGGCAATGGGGGTTGCTGTGGCCTGGGGGGGAGACGTCCTGGGGAGGTGTCCTCTGGCTCTGTGAAGCCGGGACAGGGGGCCCTGGAGGGCGCTATGGCTAGTTGTGGGGGTCCTGCCCAGCTCTGCCCCCCTCTGTGTGCATACCGTACCTGGAGTGGCTGGGGGGGACACATCAACAAAGTGAAAATGGGGACCAAGGTTTCAGACACACGGGGGTGACAGGGTCAGACACACACACCATCGTGGGGGGCCCCGCGGGCTGGAGGTGAGACCTAGGGCCGGGGGGCCGGCCCGCACTGTCCTCGGCGCGGCTGGCCCTGGCCTGGGGTGCGGGGTGCGCGCGCTAGGCAGGCAGTGGGGGTGCGGCTAGGGGTGGGTCTCTTGCTAGTAGGGGGTGAAGCGGCTGTACCCTCCGCGGCAGAGGCCAGCCTGCAACAGCACAGACGAGAACAGCCAATCAGTACCACCCTCGGGGGGAAGACGCAGGAGAGATGTGGGGATTTTGCCGAACCCCTCTTCTCCCCAGGGCGCTGGGTCAGCCCGGGGCCACACGGTCAGAGATGACCTGGGCCACTCTCCCAGCCCTTCCTCCTGGACCTGGGGTGACAGTGGGGGCCAGGGGTGGGGCAGACTCAGCCCCTCCAGGTGTACAACTCCCTGTCAGCGTCCCCTGCTTCGGGAGGAGCTGTGCCAGCTCACAGCTCCCTGAGGCTTCTGGGGTCTCGGGGAGCCTGTGGGACATGCGTGTCTGGTCTCTAGCCTCTGGCCTGACGGTTTCACCAGGGAAACTGTAAAGGCTCGAGAAGTGCGTCTGGAAACAGACAAAGCCTTAAACCAAAGGATGAGAATGTAAGGGGCACTTCCGGTGTGGGGGTTGCAGGGGTGCGGGGCGTGGGCTTGTGGGATATCAAAAAAGGATGAAACAAGGCGTGGGAGGGAGATGAAGGACTTGGCCCTGCACTGCCCACAGCGATGCCCGCGCCAGATGCCAGCCCAGCTGAGCAGTACGAGGGGCGGGGCTGTATGCATGGACAGCTGCCATATACACGCACACACACACAGACACGCCGGCCCTCCCCAGCCCGCAGCAGGCGTGGAGGCGGGGCTCAAGGTCCCCCTCCGCGCGACAAGTCCAAAGGGTGATGGATACGAGAGGGGCTGGGGCACGGACACAGCCACACGAGGAGCCGGGACCCCACAGCCTGCTGGCGAGGTTTTGGGAGGATGTGGCACTGGGGTGACAGGCTCAGAGATCAGGCAAACAGGGATCTGCCTGGGAACCTGAGGAGTCTGGGGAGGGGGTGGCAGGCGGCTCCCCCAGTTCAGATCTGTCATGGGAGCTGGGCACTGGCCTGGGGGGGGTCCCCTCGTCTCTGAAGCTGCCATCCGGCCCGGCGCACCCCTTACCATGGTTCCGATGCTGTAAGCCGCTGCGGGGCCGAGGGTGTGGTGGTAGGGGTCGGCGGCCGCATAGACTCTGCCGTAACTGGGAAGACAGCACACAGGGGTGTGGCCAGGGCCAGTGAAGCCCCGCCCCTCCAGCCCGGCCACGCCCTCCCAGGCATGCCCCGCCCCAGGCCGCCCAGGAGGCGTGGCCAGAGTGCACTGTCCAATGAGAAGCCACGGGGAGCACGGCTTTCCCTATGCATTGAAGGGATGTTCTGAGTGACATTTGGCTTTAAGAAGGCCTACTGGGGAGTGGGCAGGGCTGGGCACCCACAGTCACGCCCACCGGGCTGCCCCCACCCCCAGCTCACCACCCAAACACCGCGGTCCACGGAACTACCCGCCAAGCCAGGAATGCAGCCTTGGCCGGGCTAGAACAGCAACTTTCCCCGTTGCTGGCATGCTGCTGGGTGGGGGTCCGGGGACCTCTCCAGGCCTGAGCCTCTGGAGCCGGCTGCTTTCAAACAGCACTCAGAGTCCACCGGGGTAGGACCGCACCTCAGGAGTGTGTCTGAGGGGGGCCTGGAGGACAAAGTGAAGCCTGCAGGGGGAGGCCCGTCTGCCCTTGCTGCTCAGTGTGGGCCTGTGCGTCGCCCTCGGGGCTGAGTATCAGGGTTTCCTGTCGCGTGCACTAGAGGGGACAGAAGGTGGGGCTCCAAGCCCATTGGGACCTAGCTCTGCCCTTGCCAGGAGGCCCCCAGGCCTGGGGTTTACTGAATCCGGCCCTGGGACCCTGGGACCCACCATACCTGTCGCTGTAGGCGGCCGCGGCCGCAGCGGGCTGGGCGTATCTGTAGGCAGCGTAGCCCCCCTGCGGGCAGAGGCACAGGGGTGCTTAGTGGACTCAGCAGGGGTGGGGAGCCCGGGCACAGGCTGAGGCTCAATGCCCCCCAACCTTCACCCGGGCCAGTGAGGCTAGCTGGGGCCCAGCCTGGGGCATCTACGTACTGTCTATTGGAGTCGGGGAAGTCTGCAGTCAAACCAGAGAGTGCTGGGCTAGGGATCATACCCTCAACCCTACAAGTCAAGGCTCACCCCTTCACTCACACTCCATCACTCATTCATACACGCCCATCCCCCTTCACAGTCCATCACACACTCACGCGCTGTCATTCCCCCCTTCCCACTCATCATTCCATGCACCCACATCCTCCGCTCCCTCACTGCTCATATTCCACGACACGCACCTTCACCCATCAGTCTGCACTCAGCCTCCTGGGGGCCAGCTGTGTGTGGCAGATGTTGTCAGGCCAGAAGGCCCTGACTTGACTGGTGATGGGCCCAGAGAACCCAGGGATGGTTCCGGGTGTCCCTCGGATACTGACCACACCCCTGCCCTGGCAGCCCAAGAGGGGAGTGGGTGTTTCCCTGCTGTGGGCACAGGGGGACAGGGGCAGTTCCCAGTGAGTGGGAGCTGGAGGTGTAGCCCCAAGATAGGACCGTGCCCAGGGACCTGCCCCGCGACCTCCTCCTGGACTTTCTGGGGCTGCAATACTGGACAAAGGGGACCCAGGGGGCTCACTGGTGCCCCTGCAGATGGGAAGAGGAAAAGCAGCCCACCTTAGGGAACCTTGGGGGACCTGAGTCTCTCACCACTGATGGGTAACCTAGACTGAGCTGTGGCCAGGTGGAGTACCCATGCGGGCCCCCCCGCCCCCCCGGCTGTGCCCCCACCTCAGCTGACTTACGTAAATCTCAGCACCGTAAAAGCCGTCCTGGTATACGACCCTGGAAGCAAACGGACAAGAAAGTGGTGGGAGCGCGGGAGAGGCGGGGCCGGCCGGCTCCGGAGTCTGCGGAGGGAGGGGGCAGGGTGCCAGCCCTGCCCACGGGACCGGCATTTTAACAAGCGTTTGCTCCAGCGCCCTGTTCGGTATAACAATAGAGTAACACCCCTGCTGGTCAGCGCCTCTCCCACACACCCAGGGCCCGGCCCAGCTGGCTCTCCCGCCCCCCTCTAGGCAGTTGGGGTCCCTTCAGGGGTAGCAGGGCAGCAGGCCCCGGGAAACGGACCCGGGAGGACTGAGAGGAGAACCTGCTGGATCCCGGGGCTGGCGGGCTGCAGAGAACCGCCTGGCCCGATGCGCCCCCCTGCCCGCGCTGCCTGCCATGCTCTGAGGCCAGGTTGCGTGGTGCCAGCGTCCTCTGCCCCCCACCCCCGGGATTCTGCCAAGGCTGCCTAACACCCAGGCCCTTGCCCCATCCCTCCCAGACCGGGCTCGCCCACCAGGTACTCACGCTCCGTAAGTTGGGATGGGGGGCGGCGGCGGCGCAGCCCGAAACGTATTATACACGGCCCGGCCCCGGCCCCGTAGGTGCGCGCCCCTGTAGGCCACGGCTGTGCCCGTGGTGGGGTAAGGAAAGCCCGTCACTGCAGGAAAGGGCCGGGAGGAGGAGGTGAGCGCCACCTGGACCACGCTGGACACGTGTCCGCCCAACCCCGCCTGACTCCGCCCGGGGCCCGTCCCTCGAGCCCCACCCACCGAAGACACGCCCCTCCCCTCAAGCCCCACCCACAATAGCCCCTTCCACAAACATGTCCCTGGAGCCCAGCTGCTGCAACCTCACTCGGGACCCGCCCACCAAGCCCCGCCCACAGCAACCTCAACTCGGGACACCCCCCTCTCGAGCCACACCCACCACAATCTCACTCGGGACACGCCCCTCTCAAGCCCCGCCCACCGCAACCTTACTCGGGACACGCCTCTCACAAGCCCCGCCCAATGCAACATCGCCCAGGACACGCTCATCAATCCCCGCCTACCCAGACAGGACACGCCCTCAAAGCCCCCGCCCACAAACCAGACCGCACCTTCTCAAAGCCTCGCCCATCTCAGACTACACCCTCCCTGGACACGCCTCCCAAAAGTCACATCCACCCGCCCCGACACGCCCCCTCAAGCCCTGCCCACCTGTCCCACCCTGTCCGGCATTTACCTGCATAGAACTCTGGCCCATACACGGCACCCACCACGGGGTTTAGTTTCCAGCCTAGAGGACACAAAGAGAGCCGGTCACCCACTCCCTCGGAATCAAGCGAGGCTGGGAGCCCAGTTCCGGCCTGAGCCCCCGCTGTCGGTGCCAGAGCGGACCCCAGGCCTCTGATGAGCAGCCGACAGGGAGCTTCTTAGACAGCAGGCCCGGGGGGCTTGGGAGAGATAGTACAGCAGGTGGGGTGGTGGGTCCTGGGCACGCCAGGGGGTCCCGTGAGCCCTGTCAGGTGTAAGACCTGAACACAAAGCCAGGAGTAAGACCTGAGCACCAGTGGGTGGCCAAACATTCTAATAACAATGATAATAATGGCCACAGGAGGCGTGGGCATCTTGGGCTGTGCCGTGAGGCATGGGCAGCCGGGCCGCTTGCTCCTCATGGCGCCCAGCCCTGGGCCTTCTCTGCAGGGAAGGCGGCTGGCTGGCTGCCTGCAGGGCTAGGCTGTGGCCTTGGCCAGGGACATCCTGCCAAGCCCCTGGCCCAGGCCTCTGCTCTGGGCAGGGGGCATGCTCCCCACATGAGTCCTGCCCTTGCCTCTGGGCTGGGCACAGATGGCATCCCATCTGTTAGCAGCCCGTGGGAGGCGGACCAGGCAGCGGGTGGGGAGGAGGGTGGCGGCTTTGCCTGGGGGTGGCAGGACTGTGGTCCTCGCCCGTTTACTGAGAGCTGATGGAGGTCGGGAGGGACCCAGCGGAGCAGTGATGGGGTGGGCATCAGAGTGCAGGCGGGCACCTGGCCCTTTACCCTGGGGAGTGAGGCTAAGGTGGCAAGAGCTTCCAACAAGGCCTGGGGCGCCCCTCTGCTGGCCAGGGGCTGGGATGGCCCCCACATGGTCCGTGCACCTCCAGCCCACCGGCACAGATCTGGCCCGGTGTAGCGTCAGAACACCGGGGCTGGCACCCGGGAATGTTCTGTGAGTCCTCGGGTTCCCCAGAAAAGTGTTTTCTGAGCAGTTCAGGGTGGGCGCATGAAGTCCTGCCCTCAGCCCCCCCAGGCTCTGGGCAGAGAGCGGGCTGCCCATTGTAGACACAGTTCTGTGGTGCCAGCTGGAGCCTGGCATCAAGCCCAGAGGCCACATCCAGCAGCTCTTGGCTCTCTGGCAAAGCTGGGCACCTCCATATTTCAGCAAGAGCTTGGACTGTCGTCAGCACAGCAAGTGGGGTGGGGGCCGAGCTCTGGCCACTCCAGGCACTGCCACGCGGGGTGGGGGGCAGCAGAGGTCACCCCCCGGAGCTTCCCTAATACCAGTGACTCCACACACAGCTCAGACTCGGAGTGGAAGAGATTGGGGGGCTCCTTATAAGACACCAACTAGGAATGGGGCTGTTAGCCTGGAAAGAGGACTGGGGAGCGGGGGGGGGGCATGGGGGTCCCCCACTCCCTGGACAGCCAGCGCTTGGTTCTGCAGCTTCATCTGTGAAGACAGGGTCACCTGACTGTACCCCTTCCCTGTCCCCCACACCTGGGACTGTCACCTGCCAAGGGGCCCAGCCCAGCCCTCTGTCCCCGCAACGGTCACCTGCTTTCTCACCACGATCAGAGTCTGGGAAAGGCGGGTCCCCACTCACCGTTGGTGTAGGGGTTCACGGTCTTCTTGTTGGTCATAACCCGGGCGGTGGCGTTGTTGACCTGCCAGAGAGAACGGGAGGTGAGGGGGCATTTGGGGGGTGTGGCCACCGCAGCGCCACCCCCCACCAGCCCCAGCTCAGCTGCCTGTCCCAGTGCTGCCCCCTGCAGGGGGATCAGCCACACTGCACACAGCATCCACTCCACACTGAGCTCTGGGGCTCTCTGGGCTTCCGGCTGCTGGACTCCCCACCGAGTGCTCTGCCACTGTCCCCCCGCGGACAACCCCCATTCTCAGAGGGGCAGCACCCCTGGGAGGATCCAGAGAGTGGATGGAGGTTCTGTATTCCCTTCACCCTGGCTGTACGGGTGCAGCGCGGGCCCCTGTGAAGGGAAGGGTGGACACTGGGACTCAGGGAGGGTTCTGGCCACGCTCCTATCCAGGGAGCCTCGGCCCCGGCACCTGCCGAGGCATGAGCTGGCAAGGTTGCGGCTTCTGGAACCTTCTACCGGCCCTCCCCGAAGCTGCCTCCTCACACTCCGACCAGCCCACCCTGACCATGCAGGGGAGCCCCTGGCTCCAGCACCATCTGCGCTGTCCCCTCATCGCGGCCCTTCCTGGACCTGGCAACCTGTTACTGCTGCCCTCTGGGGTGGTGCATAGGCCACTGCAGGCTGCTGGCTCACGGGCGGGTCCCTACAGGGCGTAATATTCGTGGGGCCCCAAGTGGGACACAGTTTGGCGGGTGCTGAGCTCTGCACACTGTCCTGGGTGCCCGCCACTGAGAAGCCTCTTGAGAGAGGAGGGGACAGGACCCCTCGGCCTTAGTGTGACCCACTCTGCCCCTCTTCCTGCCGCAGCAGGGCTGGGAGGGTCCCCGGCCACACGTTGGTGTCAGCACCTCAATTTTCCGTCCCTCCACGATTGTCCCATTCAGCTTCTCCCGGGCTCGGTCAGCATCTGCGCTAGTCTCAAAAGTTACAAACCCAAAACCCTGTGAGAAGGACAGAGTGGGGGCGCAGGCGGGTGGGGCAGGGGGGAGACAGAGAGAGACAGAGAGAGAGAGAGAAAGAGAGAGAGGGGTGAGAAGCGAGTCAGAGGAGGGGGCCCTGGGCGTGGGCAGTGGCCGGGGTTTGGGGCTGGGGAGGCCCTAGGAGGGAGGAGCTGTGGGCGGAGAGAAGGGCGCGGCCACACGCACAGCGGGGCGGGGGGCACGGGACAGACACCCCGAGTCTCCAGGTGGGACCCTTGGCGCGCGGTCCCCGGGTGGCCTCTGGACGGATGGCACCCACCTTGGAACCCCGCTCGTTAAAAATGATCTCCACGTCTAAGATTTTCCCGAATTGCTGCAGAGAGAGAAGGGGGTGCGGGGTGCGGAGACCAAGGGAAACAGGGGGGACAGGAGGGGACGGGGGACAGGAGGGGACAGCAGTGGACGGGGGGGACGGGGCAACAGGAGCGAAGGGTGGGGAAAGGAGGGTTGAGACTCGTCAGCTCCCATGGCCCGGGGACGAGGTGGCCTGTCTGGGCGCAGGGGCAGGGTCCCCGAGAGTCTGGGACACACTGGCCCCCTGCCAGGGACATGCGGGGTGTGGGCTGCCTGGGTCCCCCTCACCCCAGACTCACACTGGGGGAACGGGCTTAGGCAGGGCGTGGGGGCAGGGCAGAGCCTTGGAAAAGACGGAGTGCCTGGAGGAGGAGGCCCCAGGCAGGGATGGCAAGACCCCCCACTCCCCACGCTCAGGAGACCCTGAGCTCCTGCCCCATTCTCTGCCCCCCGCCCCCGCAGCTCGGTCCAGCGCCCCCAAAGGCAGTCCCTCCAGTTACTGTCACATGCTGTGAGGCTCTGATCCCCCAATGCCAGTGAGATGTGAGCGGTCGTCCTCAGCCCCCCAGTGCTACCACCACTGGCGGGTCCCCCCTCCACCCTGGGAGGCAGTGTGGGTGGGGGACAGTGTGGTTGGGGCAATCCCCGTTCCACCAGTGCTGCAAAGGGGAGGAAGGTGAGGCCTCTAGTGGAGGGGTGAGGGGAAGGTGTCTGGTGCAGAGGTGAGGGGTGGGTGTCTGTGGTGCAGGGGTGAGGGGTGGGTGTCTGTGGTACAAGGATGAGAGGTGGGTATCTGTGGTGCAGGAGTGAGGGGGTGTCTGTGGTGCAGGGATGTGTGGTGGGTGTCTGTGGTGAGGTGCGGTGTCTGTGGTGCAGGGTGGGTGTCTGGTGCAGGGGTGAGGGGTGGATGTCTGGTGCAGGGGTGAGGCGTAGTTGTCTGTGGTGCAGGGGTGAGGGGTAGGTGTCTGTGGTGCAGGGGTGAGGGTGAATGTGTGTGGTGCAGGGGTGAGGGATGGGTGTCCGTGGTGCAGGGGTGAGGGGCGGGTGTCTGGTACAGGGGTGAGGAGTGGGTATGTGTGGTGCAGGGGTGAGGGGCAGGTGTCCATAGTGCAGGGTGAAGGTATGGGTAGAGGCATGAAGGGTGATACCATGCTGCATGTTTGGTGTCTGTGGAACAGGGGTGAATGTACCATGGTGCAGGGTGAGGGCTGATGTCATGGTACAGGGGTGATGTCATGGCATAGAGGTGGAGGATGATACCATGGTGCTGGGGTGAGGGGTGGTGCCATAGTGCAGGGGTGAGACCACGGTACAGGGGTAAGGAGTAGTGCCATGCTGCAGGGGTGAGAAGGATGTCACGGTACAAGGGTGGAGTGATATCACAGTGCAGGGATGAGGGGTGATGTCACAGTGCAGGGGTGAGGGGTGATGTCACGGTGCAGGGGTGAGGGTGATATCACGGTGCAGGGGTGAGGGTGATATCACGGTGCAGGGGTGGGGGTGATGTCATGGTGCAGGGGTGAGGGTGATATCACAGTGCAGGGGTGGGGGTGATGTCACGGTGCAGGGGTGAGGGTGATGTCATGGTGCAGGGTGAGGGGTGGCGCCATGGTATAGGGGTAAGGGGTGGTGCCATGGCTGTCACCTACAGGCCCAGGTAACAGGAACCAGGTCTTCTGACATCCCCCACCCCAGGGGCCTCCTCCTCCTCCGAGGGCTGAGCCCTGCCGGCCCCAGGCTGTGTCCCAGCGCAGAGGTGAGGCTCTGGGATCTGGGCAGGGGCCCAGGAACCAGGTGCCTCCTGTGTGCTGGGCAGGGGGTGCAGAGGGTGGGCAGGAGCCATGCGCCCGAGGACAGTGCAGATGCCCTGGACCTGCAGGCCACAGACCTGGCCAGGGGCCCACAGCAGGGCAGGGCTGAGCGGGCAGTGCCAGGAAGCCGCAGGTCGCGGGGTGCACACACTCACCCCGAACATTTGCCGCAGATCGGGGTCCCGGAAGCGGAAGGGGATGTTGGAGACGTGCAGCCGCTTGGGCAGCTGCTTGTCCGAGGCGTCCGTGGGGAGCAACGACTGGCTGTCTGTCTGCGCCGCCTCGTCCGTCTGCTGTGGGGAGAGGCTGGTGTGGGTCCCAGGAGGGCAGAGAAAGGGATGCCTAGAGCTGCCCTCTCCAGTGCTGCCTGGGTGCAGCTGTGCGGGCTGCTGGGTGCTGGCTGGGAGGGTCCTGATAGCGGGCATCTCCATGACCCCAAAGCGGCCCTGCGGCTGTCTGTTCACTGCAATGGACACCCCAAGCTCCAGCCCTGTGTGAGGGGACATTGGCACACGTCAGTGATGGATGCAGTGGCCGTGCCTATGCTGGGTGCCTGTGAACAGATCACACAGCTGCCTGCTCCGATCTGCCCAGCCAGTGCCACACTGGGCTGCGTCCACTTCTGGGACAGGAACTCTGGAAACCCATGTCTGTCTGTCCCAGGGAAGCCCTGTGTCTGTCTGTCCCAGGGAACCCCTATGTCTGTCTGCCTGTCCCAGGAAACCCCTGTGTCTGCCTGTCTGTCCCAGGGAACCCCTATGTCGGTCTGTCCCAGGGAGCCCCGTGTCCGTCTGCAGGTGCCCGGCAGCCCAGCCCTTCTCTGCCCCTCTCTGCCCAGCCTGGGCCTGCTGGCCACGCCCCAAGTGTCAGCAGAACCATCTGGGCATCACTGGTCCCTGCAGCCCTCCACCCCAGGAGACTTGGCTGCTTCTGGGAAAGGGGCAGTTGAGTCCAGGCCCCCAGCATGTCCCACACCCCCTGCCTCGGCTGCTTCAGGCACAGGTGACGGGGGTCACAAGGCGGATCTGGGCATGCAGAGGGATGGGGCTGCAGTGCAAGTGTCCGGCCAGCAGAGGGCAGTGGTCGGCCCCGCAGGAGGAAGGATGGGTGAGTGCCCAGCGGGGGGGTGGGGGGGGTGGGAGTGGGGGTGGGGGGGGTGCCCGGGGACAGTCAGAGCTGTGCTTCAGGAGCAAGGCCAAAGGTGCCCACGATCAGGCCCCCCTTAAGGGGGAGCAGCTCAGGAAGAGATGGGAGGGGGAAGGCGGCCCTCAGGGTCCCCTGTCCAGGAGACCCACGCTGGCACACGGCCCCTGCTCGCCCAGACGCGGCCCCATCCAGGCCTCTCCCGGCTGCGGATTCCCGGGCCATGAGGCAACCCTAATGCCCCGCCCGCAGCCACAGCCCCGCTGAGGGGGGTAGCTGCCTTGGTCAGGGGCCCCCCTGCAGGACCACACAAGCCCAGTTCGGGAAGAGACCAGGCTGGCAGGGGCGGAGGCTCCCGCTTCTCTCTGCGCCTGCCTCTCCTCAGAGACCTCGCCCGCCGCTGCCAAACCAGCCAGGCCACCCGGGGAACCCCAGAACAGAACGGCCCACACCCACTGCTCAGCGCCTTGCTCCCGGGACAACCCCACTGGTCATCCTGCTTCGGCTCTGACACCCGCAGGGGCAAAAGGCGGGAGCTCCTGGAGACTCTTCTGATGGAGCATCCACAACCACTCACAGGGAGGAGTACTGGACAGGAGGAGCACTGGGTGGGAGCACGGGGAGGAGGGGTGCAGAGGAGAGGATTTAGAGCACCAAGGAGGAGGTGGGGCACCAGGGAGGATTGCTGGAGAGGAGGGAGAACACAGGGAGAGCACCACGAGGAGCATCAGGGAGGAGGGGGAGCGTTGGCATATGGAGTGTGCAAGGTTGGGTGGCTAGCCTGGCAGGGAGTGGCCGAGCTGTGGGGTGACCAGGAGACAGACAGGGGCTGGGGAAGGGGCAGTGGTGGCTGGTGGCCTGCCGGGTGGGGACCTTTGGCCTGAGGCCTGAACTGCGTCTTGGTCTTCACTCCCCCCACATACCCTGCAGGGCCTGGGACACCCTCCCAGGCATGTGGCCATGACTCTGGGGGGGCATGGATGGTCCTACGGGGAAGCTCCTGCTTCCTCCCCTGCACCCCAGTGCTGGGCACAGGCGGGCACAACTGCCCCCAGGTGCTGGACTGGGTGCCCCCTGTAGGCCTCTGCCAGGCTGTGCTGGGCCTGGGGGCACAGATGCCCAGGCCTGTTTCTGGGTGCAGCAGAAGCCAAGAGGCGTCTGCTCCTGCGATCTGTGCTGCTTCCTGTGCCCCTGGTCACCCCGAGCACATTGGGGTCCCTCTGCAGGAGGCCACTGCAGGCTGGTCAGTAGTGGGTGCCCACCGGGCTCCAGGTAGCCGGGGGCCAGGTGACCCCCGCAGAGGAGGCTGCTGGCTGGGGATCAGCTCGGACGCGCTGGGCACAAGGCTGGGGGTGGGGGCGCTTCTGAGCTCAGAGGGTCTGAAGAGCTGGCTGGGGGAGGGGCGGGGTCCCTGTCGTGGGGGTGCCAGGGAAAGGGTGGCCTCTGAGTCCAGGGGGTCTGGACGTGGGGGGTCCTATCCCTGCTCCCCAGGAAGGTGGGGTGGGCTTGCCCTAGGAGCAACGCAGTGGGGGCCTTACCGGCACAGGGGGCGCCCCGGCTCCTGGCTGCGTGCTGGCCTCGGTGCCCGGCTGCTCGGCCTGCGTCTGTGCTGGTGTGTACAGGGTCAGGCTGTGCTCCGGGGGGACGGGGGGCTGGCCCGAGTAGTCCTGCGTGGGGTGCGGCGGGGGTGGGGCATACTCGGCGGGGATGCCATTCTGTGGCGGAGGGGGGTACTGGGTGGGGGGGTAGGGCTGGGCCATTGCTTCAGGCGGAGCCGTGGCGTTCTGGTTGCCCTGTGGAAGAGAGAGGCTGTGAGAACCCCCATGGCACCTCCCCTGCTTCCCAGAGCCCATAGGGGCGGGCGTCACCCCTGCTGATGGCCTGGGAGCCCCCCACCCCGGACACTCTACAGGGGCCTGTGCGGCCCACCAGCTCTCCCCGGGTCCTCGCTGGAGCTGAGTGAGAGCTGTCAGTCATCCCCCGAGTCCTGGGCCACTGAGCTGCGGTGCCAGTTGGGGGATCACTCCGGAGCTTGGGACATTTCTGTCAGCACAGACACGGTGTTTTCTCTTTTCCTTCCTTCCTTCCTTCCTTCCTTCCTTCCTTCCTTCCTTCCTTCCTTCCTTTCTTCTTTCTTTCTTACCATAGACAAGATTTTAAAAAGTGGAAGCTTTGTGCTAACTGCACCCTCATGCTTAGGAACATCTGAGTAGGGCCACTGCCCTGTGTTCTCCATAGTGGCGCCTTATGAACCTTCATCACCTCAGGGGACAGCAGGTGGGTCCAGGCAGGATACATGGGAGGCGTGGCCCAGGATGACCACACCCAGAGCCGTGGCTCAATCAGACCACACCCCAAAGGAGGCTTGAACCAACCTGACCACACCCAGAGACGCCTGTGGCTCTCCCTGGCCACACCTACCCTGTCTGGGAGGCATGGTCTGATCAGGGCACACCCCCAGCCTGTTTTTTTTTCCCCTGCCTGAAGGAGGAAGGCACCAGCACCCCAGGGCCCCTCTACCAGGGTCCTGATGGGAGTTGTGGGTAGCTGCTGCCTCTACCTCAGGACCCCTGAGGTTTCCTGAGGCTCCTCTCTACCTCTGAAGAACCTGTGCTCTGTGGGGGATGCTCCGGGGCTGGCCTGGGGTCCCACACACTCAGCACACACTCCCACCATTTGGGTGCAGGACAGGGCCCAGATCAGAGACTGGTGGCAGGCTGTCCCCACCCGGCACTCTGCCTGCACGGCACAGACAGTCCCCAGCCTAGTGCTGATCCCCACGGCCCCTCCAGGGGACCTCACCCCAACAGTCTGTGCCCCTCTGGATGCTCCTGCCACAGTGGCCAGTGGCTCCCTCTGTGCCCTGCAGTGGGCACCATGGACACCACCAACCGCTTTCAGGCATCTGGGGGTGTCGGGCTGGATGAGGCTGGCAGCCTGGGGTCTATTAGTGCCAAGGCCAGGCCTGTTAGGTGCACCCCTGGAGGGCCTGCGCACTGTCCTTCCCCTCACACTCTTTATCGAGGCTCAGCTCCCGGAGGGCACACATGCCGGTGGGGGCGTCCAGCCTGCCTGACCCCACCCACCAACGTGCCTGTGTCCTGTGGCACCCCCACAGCTGTGTCAGCCCATCCCCTCCCAGCCCTCTCTCCCCTGGTGACCCAAAGATCAGCCTCCATCATTAGCAGATCTGCCCATGTCACCCTGGTTCCCAGAGGGGCCCCTCGCTGGCGTATGACACCCCCCTCTGATCAGACCACCAAGACACGCCCCTCCCTCCTCTCCCCACTGCTTCCTTCTCCCAGGACCCTCGTCTCTGCATCCTTCCCCGGCTAGGTGACAGTGTCAACCACACCCACAGCCCCTGGGGGCGCAGAGCTCACACTGGCCGGAGAGCCCAAGCAGGGTGGGGGTGCTGGGTGGCGGGGCCCTGGGGCAGGAGACAGCTGCGGGCTGGGATGGACATACAGACTGTCTGGACAAGGACGTCAGCACGCCCGAGCGTGGAGCCTGCCACACTGCTGACATAGAGGGAGACACTGAGCTCCCGTCTCCCCAGGGGTGTCGGGTGCGTCCACCTGCCTGCCTGCTCCTGTCTCTCCTGTGACCTCACAGCCAAAGGGCCCTGAAGGCTTGGGAGGGCTGGGGTAAACTGAGCCCGGTGGGCCATCGCAGGCTGGAGGAGCAGGTGCAGAACAGAAGGAACAGGGGTGGGGGAGGGGACACCTCAGCACCCACCCTGGGGGCACAGGAACTCCCAGGGGTAATATATCACCCACCCTCATCTCGCACCCCTGCATGCCATACAGCACAGCCCGTGGCTGCAGATGGATGGGCGGACGGACGATGGATGGATGGTAGGACAGAGGGATGGGTGGATAGACGGATGGATGGGTGGGTGAGTGGATGGATGGGTGGGTGGACGGGTGGATGGATCGGGGATGGGTTGATGGACAACTGGACAGGTGGCGGGCTGGCTGGATGGACTGGTGGGTGAATGGATAGATGAATGAGTAGGTGGATGTATGCATGATGGGCAGATGAATGGGTGGATGGATGATGGATGAACAGATGGATGTGTATGTGGAAAAGTAGATGGGTGGATGGACAAACTGATGGGAAAACGAGTGAGCGGACAAACGGATAGAAAAACAGATGGACAGGTGAATGGGGGTGTCAGTGCCCAAGCAGACCATGCGGATGAGTCCTTGGACGCTGCCCTACAAGCAGAAAGTAGAACCAGGATCCCACTTGGCACTAATTGGGTAAACCTAAGCTTGTGAGTCTGATTCCTCTGGAAAAGGCCAAACGGATGCTCTGTGGCCAGCAAGTTCCCGCAGCACAAAGCAGCAGCTCCCCCTTCTCAGGTATCTCAGACCTAGCTAGCCTTTAGATGTAAATATCCTCTCCTGTTTATCACAGACCCCAGGTGTGAGGAAGTTGCGACCTATGAAGCCTAGTGCTCCATCATGTTTCTTGAGGAGGGGGAAACTGTAGCTGACCATGTTTTCCTTCCTGTAACTGATCAGGTTTCAGTTGTGGATATTGTAACTGTTTGCCTGCCCAACAGGGCAAAACAATGAATACTTTGATACATGCTCATCCTGTACTTCCTTTCCTTATTTTGATTCTTCCTACTTTGTTGAATTTCCTTGGCCGGGTTTACAATAAGACAGCAAATAAAAGGAGGCTGAGAAGGCTGTTCTTGGTCACAAGATCTGAGCGAGTCACGAGATCCTCCGTGAAAAGTGATTTTTCTCACGTTCCTCATCTCAGTGCCTCAGGCCGTCTAACTAAACATTCATACTTACAACAGGGGAGTATGAGGAAATGCTTAGAACTTAAAGGCTGAGGGCCCAGTGAGACTGTTCCGGGCCAGGGGCACACATCCTGCAGACACAAGAAACTAAGGTCTGTGCCCAGCACCACACTGACATGGTAAAGCAAGAAGTGCTGGACCCTTTGGCCAAGCCTGAAGGGAGTGAGCCCTGGGCCCTGCGTGAAGATCCCCGACTCGTGAAAAATACTGTTAAAGACCAAGATCAAATTTCCTCCATCACATGCACACATCTCAATCTTGGCTCCCTAATCCACCTGTGCGGCTGCTCCCACGACTCCCCTTCTGGTCAGCACGGACCCAGCCTCCACCCCCATGAAAGCACCAACCCTGGGGTCACCCAGACCTGCAGCCCCCAATCCTGACCCCTACCCGCCATGTTGGAAGCAAGGACCAGTTCCAGCTGCCTGAAGTCCACTCCCTGGGCTTACTGAGGACAAAGCAAGGAGACCGCAGGAGGACCCACCCGCCCTGACCACAACACTGGATGGGCCGCTCCCGCAGGCAGTCTCCTCCTGCTCACTGGGGCCGTCAGCGTTGGTTGTGGCCCATGGCATGGGGGTGGGCAGACCTGCCATGGTGCTGCCCAGGGGAGAGTATACCCCCTGCATCCCCACCCCCTTCAGGACGGAGCTTGGAGGGGAGTGGCTCAGGAGGGAACTGGAACAGATGATACCTAAGGTGAGGCGGGCACCCAGGGGAACTCAGCTGTGGCCACACAACTGGGGGTTAGTCCCAGAAGACGGCCACGCCAGCACCCGGACACTCCCCAACACGACCCTCGGCCTCCGATGTGCCACCCTGAAGCCCCTCTCAGGGTCCCCAGGCCTGCCCAACAGCCGCAGAAAGGGCCCTGATGTCGGGGGTACCCGGCAAGAGTCTGCACAGCCTGAGGTGGCTGTGGTGCCCACAGACGAGGCCAAGCATGATGCATCCCACTCCACACGTGCACTCATGTGCCCAGACACATGTTACCAGGTCCCCACACATGCATTCCCATGCACACGTGTGCCCAGACACATGTACCCGTGTCCCCACACACACGTCCCCATGTCCCCACACACACATTCCCATGACACGTGTCCACACATTCCCACGTCCTCCCACACACATTCCCATGCACACATGTGCCCAGACACATTCCCATGTTCCCTGACATGCATTCCCAAGCACAACTGTGCCCAGACACACATTCCCAGGTCCCCACACATTCCTGTGCACACGTGTGCCCAGACACATGTTCCCAGATCCCCACACATGCATTCCTGTGCACACGTGTGCTCATACACATGCTCCCGTGTCCCCACACACATTCCCATGCACACATGTGCCCAGACACTCATTCCCATGTCCCCTCAAATGCCGCATTACTGTGCACATTTGTGCCTAGACACATGTTCCCACACACATATTCCCGTGCACACGTGTGCCTAGACACACATTCCCATGTCCCCCCACATGCATTCCCATGCACACGTGTGCCCAGAAACATCCCTGTGTCTCCACACATGCATGACCATGCACACGCTCCCACACACACATTCTCAAGCACATGTGTGCACTCTGCTACATAGATGTGCGCTGTGCCCACACACACATCAGAGCCTCACACACTGGCATGGCTGACCCTGCTGGACTGTCCCCACAGTGGGCCCGACTGCCCATGGGGTGCCGTGGTCTCTGCCATGTGTTACAGCCGGGCCAGACTCGCCCCGTGGGCCCCCATCCCTCCCACGGTCTCCCCTGTTCCACCCAGGCCAGCGCCCAGCTGCCAGGAGTGGGCTGGCATGAGAGCAGCCCCGGAGCCTGGCCCCGGCCACTGTCCCGCTGCCAGGCTGCTGGCGCCCTGCCCGGCCCGGGCGCCCGCAGGAGGCTGGGGGTGGCGGCCGGGTGACTGCCGCTCCTGCTCGGCGCCTAGCTGAGGAAGAGGCGCGCGCACGGAGCTAATCTTCAGCT